GTGTCTGTTTCTGAACCGTGTGGAAGTCACTGTGAAGTCTAAATATTGAGGGAAGTCAGTAATGGCTTTGTTTTTACATTGTGGGTAAAACACGGTTCACAAAAGTTCCTCTTAGCAACTTTTGAATGTGTGTCCTGTTAATTTTTTTAGTGACTGAAGCTAATTATTCATGACAAGGTATAATGCTCAAGTTGGCTGATAATACTGAGGGGAGATTCCTTGTGGAGAGAAAGAAACACAAATTCATGTAATGCAACATATGCTGCAACTGCACTATTATAAACTTTCCCAATACAAATGTAGGAGGTAACTATCTTCAGGATGAACTCTAATATTAGGAAATCACATACAATTCCATAAAAAAAAAACACCAAACAATAATGGACTAAGAGGCACATGATGAACTTTACTTTCAGGTTTTGTTTATGTTTGATTGTGTGGTGAGACAGTTTAACCTGAGCTGCAGCTCACTCTGATCTACAATATACCTAATGCTTGACTCAAGCCTGATAACGTTAAAAAGGGTTTTTCTACAAATTCTACTCATCTTTCAAGTTACAGTCAGCATTAGAAGACCTACCTAGGTAATTTTTGCTGTGAATTTCTGTGCTTCTTAGTCATACATCTGATGGATTATGACTGACCATGTGTTGTAGTAGCCCAAATGAAAGTGGGTCTTAAAAAGATTCTCCCACATAATTTGTCCTTGGTGAGAGCTGGTTAAAATCTTACAGAAAGTTTTTAAAAAAACATGTGGTCATAAATCTACATCAATAGTGCTGTTTGTGTAAATTTACAAATAAAAAAATCACAGAAGGGTGGGGGAAAAATCACTGTAAAGAGGGATTAATCTATTTCCATTCTTCCCAGCCATTGGTCCTAGTTTTTACCCCGAGTTTCAGGTGAATCTTAATCTTGAGACCAAATTTTATTGCCAAAAAGTGTTTGTAGGTAATATGCCAACCAACCACAGTGAGGCCAGCTTTGTAGTCTAATATCACAAGATCCTGACATCTCTATACACAGTGAAGTGATAGCAGTGTTTAGAAAATGAACTAGCATTTTCCTATGCTGATGTGACTCTTGCAGCATTTGCTCTGCTCTGCGAGCCAGGTACATGGAATTCCTCTGCTGTGTCTGCAGCAGAACCCGGCTGCTGCCAGGATTGCTGTAACTAAAAGCTGTGTTTTCCTACACACAAGAAATCTTCTAACTACTGTTTGTACTTTAAATTAGACTGTTAAGGCTAGGTTTGCTCTAGAGAAACTTTTCTGGCTTTATTAAGCCTACACTGATGATCCCTTCAGTTTGCTGTCATTAGAAGGGATGTAAACAGGACAGCTTCTAAATCTCAACAACTGTAAACTTTGCCTGAGTTTGACAGTGAGCATTTAGGCTGTAAATCTGATGAGGTAAGGAAGGTGTAGTAGTCTTTTTGTTCTACTTAAAATGTTTAGTGGATGGGATTGTGGCCCATGTTGCTAGGGTTGCTAGGAATGACAGTACTAATTACTTCTTTAAGACTGCTTTTATATAAACCTATTTATTATTTGGGACTCCTCACATTCTTATGACATTAACAGCTGCAAGGCAACAAACGCAAGTGTTTGAACTGAGATACCTGTTGCTCAGCCACTGAAATACCATTGCCTGATACTGACATTGCTTTGCAGATACAGGCCGTCTTTTCAGTAGAGCCCTGTGGAAATAGTGGTTTCAGAAGCTGCAACAGATGCCCTTTTGGAGTTACTGAGCTGGTCTTTCACAGAGGGATCAGAGGAATTCTTTGAATTCCCTAAGTAAAAATGATACCAGTCACACTGAGGAGAATGGGGACACAGGTGACTTATCCATGTTGTGCCCTAAAGAGCTGTAGAAACATCCAAGAAGCATGGGAGGTGCATTTGCTTTTATCTCAGTGTCAAGCTTGCTGTTGGCTTTGCATATGACTTGAAGAAAAATACTCTTTGCTACTCTGTCTTACCTGAGGATTTGTGGAAATTTACTCAATGTCACATGGTATGATGACACTTTTTAGTCTAGTGGTGGATGCAAAACAGTTTCCAAAAGTATGAAAACTGCAGTAAGTGAAAATTGGAAAGACTGGCGACTTGTGAGTGCTGCCTTATGCAGTACTTTAATCTTGACTTGCAACAGCCTTTTATTACACTGGATCTTGGAACCTTTTTTACTCAGCCCTGGTGAGAACACACTTGGGAGTATTGTGTCCGGTTCTGGGCTCCCCAGTTCAAGAGGGACATGGATCTACTTCAGAGAGTCCAAGGGAGGCTATGAGGATGATTAAGGAACTGAAACACCTGCCTTATGAGTAAAGGTTGAGAGACCTTGGGCTTTTCAGTCTAGAGGGAGAAGACTGAGGGGGGATCTAATTAGTGTCTATAAATACAGGACGGCTCTTTTCGCTTGTGCCCTGTGATAGGGCAAGGGGCATTGAATTCAAACACAAGCACAGGAAGTTCCACCTCAACATAAGGAAGAACTCCTTTACTGTGAGAGTTAAAGACCACTGGAAGAGGGTCCCCGGAGAGGTTGTGGAATCTCCTTCTCTGGAGACATGTCTGGATGCCTTTCTGAGTGATCTGCCCTGTTTTTTTGGTCCTGCTCCGCCAGAGGCGTTGGACTCAATGATCTTTGGAGGTCCTTTCCAACTCCTAACATTCAGTGATTCTGTGACCACCTATAGTGACTAATTGCTCAGCAGTTTTGCAGAGTTGCTTAGATGATCAGACCAAATACTTTCACTTGCGATTCAAGTCTGAATTTGAGCTTGAACCCGTGGAAGTGAAGAGCTTGTCTGTTAACTCATGGCACTGCTTGCTATTGCCTTTGCCAGCTATTGCCTGCTCTTAGAACAGCTGCTGTGGCACAAAAGGCCAAAGGGAAGCACCTCAGTTTTGCTCTAGGCCTTTCACACCTCCAAATCACTGGAACATAACCAAGTGCATGGTAAACTATAGGGTGTCTCTCCAGTGCAGAACAGGCTGTACAGTTGACTTTATGAAGTCATGAATAATCTCAGTCCTAAATTATTTTAACCCAAGCAGTCATCTGTGTTGATGAATGTAAAGAAACGGCAAAGCGGAAAGAATGGCTGCTAAGTAGAGGGAGGATACAGGATGCAAATAAATCTGCTAAGATGAGATTAAATGTGAACTAATAATTATTTATTTTAGATGCCACTGGGGTTACAGTGTGAATCACTTATGGGCATACTCAGGTGAAATTAATTTTTTACGCTTTCCCCTGCATGTTTTTTATAGTCTCCATAGAGGTGAAGGGAAAGCAAAGCTATTAGTTACACAGGGAGTACACCTAAGACTTTTGAAGTGCACCCATATAAATTCTCCCTAATTAATATGTGGTTTTCAAACCTCTTGCAAGTAACAAGCATGAACAGCTGTAGTTCTTTTTATGGATACAAACTAATCTCTAGTACATGTCGGAGTCAAAGGATAAAGAGGACAACATGCTGTGGATTCGTAAGGCTTTTCTAGCCACAGAACTTTTTATACCCTGTAAAAGTGGAAGGGAATGCAGAAGAGTGCAGAGTATAGTCTTCAAGAATACTGCTTGGGAACAAAATCGTTACAGGATCAAAAGGTCTAGCTCTGTAGGATACATACCATGCACTTTTTATTAACATATGAAACAGCATGTGTGAGTTTTGACCTATTGACAGGTTCAGCCTTTTGTGACCTGTATGAAATGGGCAGCATTTGTTGTCAGTTTTCACTTGTGTGGGTGATCTTAATGACAAAGGATGGGAACAATTACATACTTTATGTTTTTAAATAATTGTAAAAGCCTAAGCAATAAGTCATAATAAAATTCCTTAGGCTTGATTAATATCTTCATACATACTTCCCATTAGAGGATTATATGTTTTCTCCCCTCTTTCTCCTTCTTGCTAGCTGTATTTATTATGAGTTTATTATTGTACTCTGCCTGGAGTCAATATCTGTTTGTGGTTGGTGAAGAATCGTAATAGCTCCATCATCTTTCTATTGAAATGCTAAAATGGGGATGGTGTTGATTCCACACATCTCTAGAACAACTGTTTTTGGAGAACTAATCCTTCGTGTGCCACGATTTACTTCACAAAAGCCCATCTAAAGGTAAACCACTTTGAAGTATTAGATGGCAGATGTGTTAACTTACCCAAAAGACATTTCATTGCTTTGAATTCTGCACTCTTCTCATGAAGCTCCCCAAAGGGAAGTCAGAAGGAGTTTCCTAATACTTTCCTATAGCTCTGGCAAAGTTAGCTATGAGTTGGTTAAGTCACTTGGAAAATGAAGCTAACCTTCTCAGTGTTATTCCTTTCTCTTTCCCCGGAATCTCCTTTCTGTTTCCCCCAGAAATTGAAATAAAGATCCAAGACTTCAAATTACTTCTCAAGTTCATTGCCTTCTAACTGTTTTGTAGAAGAAAATGAGGGAAAATGGGTCAATAATGAGAGAAAGGAGCACTGACTGTATGATTAAGTTTTCATTCAGTTGAGGAACATCACAATAATGAAGAAATCTTCAGGAATTGATGAACATTTTTTTCCCCTTATCTCTCAGCTCTGTAATAGCTTTCAAGTTAAACTACACTAAATGAACAAAGGCTAGTTTTGAATCTCCTATTTCCCTCTCCTCTCAAGTTAATCCCAGGAGGTGTGTAGTGCATGCAGTGGTGGAATATACCTGAGCAGAGTAAAATCCAAGTGGAGGAAATTGTTTCATGAGCTGCATAAAAAAGAAATAATAAAATTACAGTCTGACTCAGATGAAGAAGTGAACCACTGGAGAGATTTCTGATGCTGAAAAGCTTACTCCCTTTGTTTTCATCCGTGCTTGTCTTGTGTTGTGTTTTTGCAGGAGCATTTCAGAACAATGTAGAACAAGGTATTCTGTGTTCAGCTGATCTGTAGCTGTTCCAGAAGTATTGACTAAGGTGACATTCTGGCTTGTACCACTCACTTAGCTGTTGGATTTCTATTTCTGCTTCTGTCTGTTGATCTTAGAGTACAGGAAACCAGAGTTGTATCCAGAAGGTAGCTCCTCTCCTTGGACATTGGTGTATGTTATTGTAATGCTGGGTATCTGGGCTGCAGATGATCTGTGGAGAGGCTCTCCTTTTCTTTGTCCAATAACATTCATGCTCTCACCTCTCTAAAGGATGCAAGGATTTAAAAGAAATGGAAAACACAAACATCTAGAAGGAGACCAGGTTGCACTATCTATGAAAATGTGGCATATATTTAGATAAGCACTTGGTCGGTCCCCATGACTAACTCAAAACAAAACTTAAAAGGCAGAGGAAAAGGTATATCTGAATGTTTTTTGAATGTTTAAAGAATAACTTATGAAAAAAAACCCTGTTAAACAAGTTAATATACTAAAACACAGATTTTGCATTTGCTACTTAAGAGCTGTTCCACTTTTCATGAAAGACCAGGCTAAGGACAGCACATTTGACCATGAACAAAAGTGCTGTGAATATGCTCAGACACTCTATGAATTCAATCAAGTAAGGAGTGCCTCCATAAAGAGGAAGCGTTGGGGGCAAAAGGTGATGTAAAATGTAGTGTTAATAGCATGGATAGTTTGAAGGAGGAAGCAAACTAGAGAATGAAGATAAAACAGGAATTGAGAGAATAATTAATTAGCATTTTTTAAACAATGACAGTGCTAGCTGTCACTTGCTCAGGACCAAAAAATGGGAGTGTTAGGATGAGGCTACCAATAGCTCATAAAGATCACTAGGAACTGTAAAGAGATAATTTAAAATATTTATACTATATTGGGGTTAATTCTGCAAAGATAAAACTGACTTGTTTTAACCTATCAACTGTTTTCTCTTATTTCCCTCTCTGTCATGAACTTAGTTGACTTACATGTGGCAGATGTAAAACAGATGTATGTCATAGCCTAGTTACCTGGAAGAAGAAAAAGGCACTAGCACAGCATTTTGCTGAGTAGGTGACATGACATGTTTCTTCCAAGTTGCACTTTTTAGATGTTTGGTGCTACCCAAAAACAGAGAACATTAAATAGTTAACAAGGTCAATTTGTACAGCAGTACTTGCCACAAGACTATGGCTGTCTCAGAGGTACAGCAATCAGAATGGCTATCAGCTTACTGTGTATAGTATTTGTATAAAGATGGCATGAAATTAATGCTTCCACGCTCCACTAAGGGAATCACAGACCAAGTGAATTCAAGACAATATTCAAGTTCCTTGAAGAAGTTGGACTTAAGGAGAACCCTGTGATACAAGACTTTTCCTTCTGTTTAGCTTCAGCAATAAATTACCCTTTGTGGTCTACTACTACCTTTGTGGTTTATTTTCTATATTCTGCTGGGACTATCATGTGATTCTTAAATCTCAAAAAAAACCACCTTAATTTGTGCTTGGAGACTGGGATTGTCATTAGTTTTTGTTCCCTTGGTTAGTTAGACCCATGCCAAATTTTAAAATAATAATTCTTACAGTAGGTGTAGGAGTGTAGTCTGTGACATTCAATTCCACCATGGGTATGTCATCAGCATCTACAAGTGTCTGAAAAATGAACACAGATAAGAAAGACATAAATTACTTTTAGGTATGTCACAATATTTTACATACATGAAATGCAAAGTAAAGGAAAAAGAAAAAAAGGAAGACAGCAGAAGACTGACTGAAAAGTAGGGATATGCTAAAGATAGCCTTGTTTTTTACCTCTCACCATATGTGTTCATTTGATAGGAAAGGGTGAGACAACAGCAAGACTGACCCAAGTAGTTTGGACAGTGAAATACAAATATTACTGAATATACATTTAAAACCAAACACAAAACAACACATTATTCAGATGCTATGTTCACTAAAACAGGGCCATTGCTTCTCAGAAAGGTAACAAAGACAGCTGAATAAGGAATCAGGGTGGAAATAAAAAGCTGATGACCTTTTACAGCCTCTAAGCCATTACTCATTGTGTTGACTTAAAGGTTAACCCTATCTTCTTGCAGGAACCTTCATGATTACCTATGGTAAAATGTGCAGATTTGTTAACCCAGCAGTTGTCAGAGAATGTAGATATTATGCAGTTTGTTACCTTCTCACCTATTCCAGAGTCTTGGCTCTTTAGTTTAGGTTTGGCTCTTACGTCACTAGTTTGAGTTGTGTCTTTGCCTGTTTCATAGGACACCTGTCCGCTAGCAAGTCTGGAGAACATGCTGGCGGTATCCGTTTCTGTGTCTGTACAGCCCTAAAATGAATAAAGGAAAAACAACCACTTGAGCTTCCTTAGAGTTCCAACCCCCCTGCATGGGCAGAGATGCCTCCCACTAGACCAGGTTGCTCAGAGCCCCATCCAACCTGGCCTTGAACACTTCCAGGGATGGGACTTGCACAACTTCCCTGGGCAGCCTGTTCCAGTGACTCACCACCCTCACACTAAAGAATTTATTCCTAATGTCTAACCTAGTATGATTCCAAATACAGCCCACTTCACTTTCAGAAAGCAGTATTTGTTTCATTATACCTTGCTTTGTCTAGATAAGTCTAGACAAAGTCTACTTAGTGACAATCATTTTCTTTTTTGTGTGTATCTGGACTCCAAATCTGTGGTCAGACAAGTACGTCCTAGGAGTATGATCAAGGGGTTCAAGGTTCAAGGGGTGCTCTGACTCTAAGCTTCCCTTACTTTCTAAAATTTCTGTTGCTTCAGCTTACCATTATTCCTTCAATATCACAAACCATCAAGAGTCCAAAGATTTACATTCTGCTTTTACACTTTTCAGCCGTCTGTCTTTTATTTCACTTTGTCTCACTGCTTTATTGGAGTTCATGAAAAGAGGACCACAATGGATTTAATCTAAAGAATCTACCACTTTGAAGGACTCTCTACAGAAACTAATCACTTTTCCATCTACAATGGCTGTATGGGAATTGCCTCCCTTATTGAATCACTGTCAGAGAGTCACCTTTTTCCTTTCCAGTGGCCTGCTTACCTCAGAAGACTGGCTTGTTATTGTTGCTCGCCTGGAGGAGAGATAACTGCTGAAAGACCTTGAGTCTTTAGGAGAAAGTCTCATCAGGAATCGAAAGCAAGGAACATATGTTGCAATGGCTGTTCTAATGGGTGAGAGGTAGAACCAGTCAGATTTTTTCTAGTAGCACAAAAATTCAGTCATCATAAGCAATGCATTTATTCAGAAAGATGAATGAATGGTGCATGGGCTGGAGAATTACTGGGTACAAAAAAGGTTTTCTAGATATCCAATATCTCATGTATAATCACCCTGCAAAGATCACTAATTCATAGTGTTCTGCAGAACTCAAATTTATCGCTTGGCGGGAATAAGGACATTAAAGTATAACTCTTCAAACTGAAAGGAACTATTAAAATTACGTTTTATCTGCTTTCAGCTTGATCAGGGCAAAAATAAATTTCAGTCCCTTTAAACTGAACCTTGCAGAAGTACCACATAATGAATTATTTTAATCTTCCCCTAAGCAGCTATTTTATCTTCTTCTTACACATCTGTTTGCCAGCTATCTGTAGAGTTGTACAAAATGTGCGAGGAGAAGGATCTGGCAGTCCTGGTAGATAGTAAATTATGCATGAGCCAGCAATGTGCCCTTGCCTCCAAGAGGGCAAATGGAATCCTGGGGTGCATAAGGAAGAGTGTGGCCAGTAGGTCACAGTTCTGGGCTCTCCAGTTCAAGAGAGACAGGGAACTACTAGAGAGAGTCCAGTGGAGGGCAACAAAGATGATTGAGGGATCGGAGCATCTCCCTTATGAGGAAGGGCTGAGAGCGCTGGGACTCTTTAACCTGGAGAAGAGAAGGCTGAGGGGAGGCTTTTTTAATGCCTACAAGTATCCAGAGGGTGGGTGCAAGGAGGATGGAGCCAGACTCTTCAGTAGTTACCTGTGACAGGATGAGGGGCAATGGGCACAAGCTGGAACATAGGAAGTTCCATTTACACATGAGGAAAAACATCTTTACTGTGAGGGTGACAGGGAACAGGCTGCCCAGGGAGGTTGTGGAGTCTCTTTCTTTGGAGATACTCAACACCCACCTGGATGCAGTCCTGTGTAATGTGCACTAGGGGATCCTGCTTTAGCAGGGCAGTTGGACTGGATGATCTCTAGAGGTCCCTTCCAACTCTGACAGTTCTGTGATTCTGTAATATTACAGTATTTCTTTCCTCATATGCAGTGCAAGGAAACTCTTTAGCCTGGCTTTCCTCTTTCCTCCCAGCCTTCCCTGCTTAGATGTTCATGGCCACCTCTTCTTTATCCAGTTTCCCACTAGGTCTTTGTAAAGGATGAAACAACAGCATATATATATGGCTTTGTTGTCATCCATCAGATCTCACAGCCTGCACTTGAACTTGGTATAGTCATGAACCTAAATTTTACAACTCGGAAGAAATACTGTCTGAGCTATGAAAGTCTGGGGGGAAGTGGGAAAGATGCACAAAATAGGGAGGAGGTGGATTGACTTAATAAATTGCATCTGTCACTGGCCTTATTAATTAAAAAAACCCTGATATTTGCAACTCTGACAAATATCTGCATCTCTCATTAAAATAGTTTAAAAATGAATGGTGCTTTCCTTGGAGGTAGCGAGGTCTCTATCTTTTATCATGTAATCTCTACTCTGTAATCTCAGTGTCTGTAAACACCTCTAACTCCTCTAACACCTGCACAGCAGTTTGTTCAAAGTATAAATTCCACGACATTTATATGGCATTGAGAAGTTTCCCTGGGGAGGGTGAGGCTGTCTTGCAGAGGTAAAAAAATCAGGTAAAGCAGAGTTCAGGTACTAGTCCTAAAAGTAGCAAAGTTACTGTCTGATTTTCTTTATTATATTAAATGTAGCTTATAAGAGTGAACTTACCTGTATTTGGGGTGAGTGATGGCATAAATGATAGGGTTGTGGATGACAGAAGCTTTGGCAATCACAGCTGGTATGGAGTTACTGAAGGGTGTTAGGACATGGGAATACCTAGAGTAATGTAAACACATTATGTATTTAGTATTGAGTTGTATGTTGTCTATGCAGTTATACAATGACAACTCAATAGTTTAATAGTGCTCTAGAGAGAGTAAAAGGGGGAGTTCTCTACCCAAGCAGTGAGAGAACAAATTTTACTTCCTTTGCCTGCAAAGATCAACACCAGCCTAATTGCATTTCTGAGAATAATTCTTTTCTTGGGGCTTCTCTTGCTGCACTTCACTACTATGACTCAGGATGGTGGTGATTCCCAAGTTTTTTACCCTAGGGACAAAGTCAGCCTTCAATAAGTGACTGTGCATTCATCAGAATATCTATCTGTTCCAAACTCAGCAGATATACTTGATGAGTAATGTCACTAAATAGGTGTGCAGAATGAGGCATTGTAAGGGCAGATAACCAATAAATCTCTTTTGCTATTAAAACATTGGCTTTTTGCCTGATCTGAACTAAAAAGTGAAGGGGAAGTATTTTTCTGAATTAAACAGTGAAAGGAAAATATTTTCAGGTGTTTTAGTTATGCTTATTGTTACTGTGACCATTAATATATGCAGGTGATGCGACTCCAAGGGATAAAGGAATTATGGTTGATGGCTATCTGCCATGCTGCTATCAGCCAGTTAATTTTTGTAGATAGCTTGAAGTATCCCATAAAATCTTGGTCATAAGAAAGTCAGTACAGAACAGCTCAGATCAAAATAACATCACTTCATAGGCAGTTTCTACCATGCAAATTCTCCATACACCTACTTAGAGGCTATGAATACCTCTTCCTGCTTTGGCAGAAATCATTCTGAGTGATATGGCCCAGTAAGTCAGTCATTCCTCCCAAGGATAACATCCTTTCTTTGTCATTGCTCTTCTTCCTGAGAAGAGTCTAAGCTCCATCTTTCAATTAGCCTTATATTTCTATGACATTATGGGAAAAAACAGATTTTCCACTCAATCCTCTCTCAGAAGAAGGCTTCTCATGTAAGTGCTACACAGAAAAAGAGAATTGCATAAGTAGGTTGCAGCTCATCTCCCTGATGAGGTAAATTTGAATCATACTATGAGACTACTTATGCTCCGTGATGAGGTGGTAATGATTTATCAATGGTAATACAGGAATAATTTTGTCAGTTACCTGCATGTTGAGATGCCATTTCAATTCTAATTTATAACTTTTCTCTGTTAAGAATTGTCCAAGTAGCATGTTCTCCATATACAGTTTTTAACATAGTTTCTCCTAATCATACTTGTAAAACATTGGTTAGAGGTGCAATTCCTCAGAGTCTGGAGAACACATAACAGTATGACCTTACTGGAAGGGAATTTTTGACCCTGAGATGAGAGGGTGCTTTGGTAAGACTGATGGAGAGTTCAGCTAATGGAAACAAACAGCATCAAAGGCTTTTGTTTAAGCTAACCACTCCTCACAAATAGGAGTCTTCCTCTTGAGGATTTGCAACTGACAAGACTTTCTAAAGTAGATAGTCACACCCATCCACATACAGCCAAGGCATCCAGACTCCGGATCTGTTAATTGTACCTGGGTTGTATCAGCTGTTGTCTGGTATCAAGCTATGTACAGGTGTACTATCTTAATAGTATCATGCTTTTCTTGAAGTTACTGTATAAAATACTGACAATACAGAATATGTTTAGATTATTTGCATTTATGATTTTTTATATCCAGCATCAAAAAGCTCCCTGATGCAAGTATGTACTAATTTTCAGCTTCCTTATACATGTAAAGAATTTCAGCTCTTTGATGTAACACCAGAAAATTAACAGACTTTTGTTACTAAAAGAAGTGGAGAAAGAAAATATATTAAATCCCTCAGTGGATTGTTTTAGGGCCCTTACGTAGCATTTTGATGCTAAATGAAGTTTAGATAGTTCAAGTGTCTTAATATAGAGAATCTGCATTCAGAAATTAGCAGCACAGTAAAGTTATGTTGCCAGTAATAACTTCCTGTTTTCTTTTTCTTTTTTCAAAGTCAAACTAAGAAAATAATCACACTCAGCATGTGGCTTATTTGTTAAATGTCACTCCTAAATATATTAATACTTTGGATACACTTCAGACATTAAACCTGACAGGTAGCTTTGACTTTAATCTGTTTTACAATTTCACACTTTTTGCTTTCATTGAGTGGTCATTTGCTGATACATTCATAGTTACCCAGCAAAAGCTACCAGGGCAACAACAGAGTACGGTGACCAGGAAATGACATAAAGCAAGATGACAATGAGTGCAATTTTGGCCATCTTCCACTCATTTTTCATCCTCTGATACTGTTTCTGGAACTCTTTATTTCCATGTTTGGATCCAAATGTCTGAATAGACCTAAGGGAAATAAGCATACAACAGCAAAACAAGGAGGTAGGGAATTCAGTAAACAACTTCATATAAAGGGGCAATAATTACTCTTACAGTAGCTTAAGCTAAAAATCATCCACTTTTAAGTGTGTGAATGTATTCATGTGACCAGTTCTTCACAATTCAATGCACTTTTGTTGCACTAATCAATGGCAAAATTCACATGCACTTCAACGAAGAAAACAGTCCCATATCAGAAGTTGTTCCACAAATCAGGTATTCAAGCCAGCTGAACAATGCTGTACTGAATTCAGTTAGAGAAGTCTTGGCTTCCCTGTGCTACCTTACTCTCACTCTACTTCTAAGCTATCTGGCTAGACATCCTGAATTCTACTGAACAGATATGTATAGATTATAAATGTAATGGCAGACATAGGCCTTTATTTTTGCAACAATAGTTTTTGTTTCAGAGACCTATGATTAAATGTTTTATCTTTTTTTTACCTTTGTCAAACATGGAATTTGTACTTCAATTCCATCTATTTTTCCATGGAATAGTTGTTGATACAGTGTTGTTAGGTATCTCTGATGTCCCCTTAGTATTGCTTGTGGTTGGTTAATTTCTGTAGCCTTTTCTCATCCTAAAGATATCTCTTGCTTCTTCTACTCATACCTTTTTCCATGTCATTATACAATATACTGAACAGCTCTGACTTAAATTGACTAATCACTCCTCTAAGGATCATACTTCCTACCGTGTTGACTGTAAAAAGACATCTCGTTTGGTTTCTTCAGTTGTGCATACAAATTAATAAGGAAAAACTTCCAGATTTTCTTCTGCTAGTCTTTGTTTTAAAAAAAACCCAAACCAAACAGCCACTTAAACATAAGGATAGAGACTTAAAGACTACTTACTTGTTGGCCTTCTTGATAGCCTCAAATATAAAGACATAGCTGTATATGATAGCAATCAAAGGGATGAAAAAGACGAAGCAGAAAAGCAGCATTGTGTAGGCACGGACTGACGGTGTGAAAGTTGTGTAGTCCCAGGAGCAGGAAGTCAGCAGACCCTCAGGGACATATGCACCTAGAAAAAAAAAAAGGAGAAAGAATAAGCCATGAAATTATTCTTATTCTGAGTGCAGAAATTAGAGAAAGGTGCTCAGAATAAGGAATAGTCCTATTCTATTAGAGGAAAAAAGAGTTTAAAAGGATACAGATTTTTTCATTTAGAACACCTTTTTCCTTCTCCTTTATTTTTTTCCTTTTTTTTTTCTTTTACTCTGTTGCCCTGTGTCCTGGTTTGAGGACACCTTGTAGTATTTATGTTTAGCTGCCTAAGGCTTCGGATTGGAAAACTGTATAATTTTGTATAAATTCTTCAATATTGTTTAAAGTTCAACATCATCAAAGAGCATCTCTCAAAATACCTCACGTAGGTCTTTGATCAGACCCTTATTGTGTTTAAATATCTCAATTTCCTGTGAAATCCCTGTCTTCCAAGGGAGTTGCATGAAACTGATCGCTATGGCTACCCCTTCTTAAGCATGTGCAGGTAAGATACATTTGCTGTGCAAAAGAGAGAGATTTATTGTGCAGATAAAATTATGTTTGTTGTGATATAAAGTTGAATACAGGTGGAGAAAATCATACGTACATAATTATCTGCCTGACATAAAATATAATTTCCTTAAAGGAACTATGTCAAACTGTTAAGTAAAGAAATTGTCAACAGCAATGTCTTTTTCCCTTAGTATTTTACATTTTACTGCTTACAGTGATATTTTCTCTTGATCTCTTAAAAAAATTGCACCAGATGTGCTCAGATGCATCTAATTACCATATGAGAGTTAGTACTCTGGATACTATTAGAATCTAATTCTAAGATAACAACACCCTTTGAGCAATTATTTCACCTTCTCCCATTGAGAATACAGACTCTAAGTCCATATTGTCACTGTGTTGTTCTAACATCTCCACATTCAACTAAAGCTGTTTCTCCCACTATTGCAGTTTGCCTGCTTAAACATGCTTCATGTTTATGTGGGACCAGAATGACAACAAGAAGACAATAACAAATATCTGCTGAAATGCTATTCAACAACTGAGTTGGTTGCAGCATCCTTTGTGAAAATCCAACATTGCAATATTCTCACCTCAGCTGAGCTGACACATTCTCTTCTGGAATTAGGGAGCACAATAATGGGCTGGGGTTTTGAATGATGAGTTCATTCTAATTTACTGAGTCAAACTGGTGACTCACAGGAAACAAATTAGTGGTAGTGAGGTAGATTCAAATGAGGAAGAGCAAATCTGTTACAAATTGCAAGCAACAAGATGGTGTATGTGTGTCCTAATTTGTAGGCACAGAATTCACATTTACAAACACAAAATAGTTTTTATTACTAAATAGTGAAGATACCAATGGCTGAATGGAGAATATGACCAACACCTTGTGCAATTTGCCCATCTAGAACACAGTCAAGACTTATTGAAGATGTACTGCTGCAAAATGCTCAGACTGTGTTCCTCTTTTACATTAATAAATAAATTTAGATTGATGCAACTATCTTACATAGCACCATTGGGGAGGAAAAAAGTGATCAGAAAAACGACAAATACTTTTGTTTCCTTTTTATATTGTTGAACAGAAGTTAAGTGTGGGATAAGAAGCAGGTGCATCCTTTATAATATTTGACCTTGATTTTATCTACTGTTCCTTATTCCATAAAAAAGAGAGTTTGAGGGAAAATACGATTGTCATGTAAGATGTTGCAATGCACACTGGAGCTTTTTTTTTTTTTAATTAGAGTTCTTCAGTTTCAATATGTATTTTATCAGTTTTCTTAAACTTTATTTATTCAAGCCCAATATGCAAGCCATTAATTCGTCCCTCTTCTATACTTGTAACTGGCCTTGAATGCAATGCTGTGAGGGGAAAAAAACACACTTTTATTGCATTTCACTTACTCCATCCAAAGAAGGGCGGGAGGCTCCAAGCCAGTGAGTACAGCCAGACGCCTACCAGGATTATTAGGGCCTTCTTCTTAGATGTCACACCAACAGAAGCCAGAGGTTTTGTGATGACAAAATATCTGTCCAAGGCAATCACCATCAAAGTGATCATGGATGTAATGCCAAAAAGAGCTCCGCAGAAGGCATACAGCTCACAGCCTTTCAATGAAGATGACAGAAATAGCAGTGAAATTAATATACCCAGGCTAATTAATTTCTAAAGAGTTCAAGTCTGTGTTTCTTGTGAACTGATGTCTTTTGGAATTTGTAAAGCAGTGGAACTTCAGTTTTCCTGCAGTGGTAATGCTATTTCAAAGCTGTTGTCTGTCTTGCGAATTACATTATCCATGGAGATAAACTTCAAAGATTTTGTTTGCTTGAATTGCTGGAGACAGTGATACTTTTATTTTCACTCACTGATTTCTGATGTTTCTAGTGGGGTCATTTCAGTGGTCCATTAATATCTTGTTTAACTCCAGTTTTACCGCAGCTCCTGTAGAAACAGCTGTTTTGCTTAACAACGGGTTATAGCTACTGTGGAACTATTTACATATCATGTCAGCGTAACTGAAGTAAATATGCATACTATGAATACATTAATGAGTGATATTAATTATTTAAAAATCCTAATGCTTAAAAGCAAGGGTTTGTTTGGGGGTTTTAACATGTATGCAACTGAACACTTCCTGGAACTAAAAAAAAATTGCTTTTGGTCATCAGAGATCAAAGTGGCAACATTACTTCTCTGACCTTCCTCTCTGTCAATACCTGTTCAAGAGGCAAAGACTAGTCTTCCTCTTACTACAGTTATATAGGAAGAATGAAAGCACCTTAATTCCACATGTTATTGCACGGAAATATTTGGTTAATATTTTTGTTGTGAAAACTCAGTTTTCCAAGGCTTTCTTTCCCTCACTTTGGCAGATGCAAGCCCCAGAGCAAGTTCTTTGGAAGATATTTTAAGCTGTTGTGTTGAGATGTGGTGCTTCTTTGTCATAGGACTCTGCCAGGAACTAAGTTATGAGGTGACTGGGGAAGAATGCTGGCAAGGAGACTTGTCCTGTGCCTCAGTTTGCCAATGTCACCTTTGTATCTATCTCGTGTATGTAATTTTCCTCTCCTTGGTGGGAATGTATTGATTGCACACACACAAAAATCTTCAAAGAAACGTTTGTGTCAACATGGGAAAAATGTTGAGAGTTTTTCTCAACAGTTGTAAGGGTACCTGAGGATAATAAATAGTAGATTAACTGCCGCTGTGGTAAGAACATACTTAGTGGTATCTGAGAAAGAATATATACAAACCTTTCTCACCAAAAATCCATCTTTTGTGGAGGCTGTTGGTGAAAAAAACTGGAGACTGTGTAATGGACATCAGGAAGTCACTAACATTTAGATTGATGATGAATACGTTGGCTGGAGTCTGAAGGCTCCTACTCCTAAAAAGATCAGAAGGAATGTTGCTAAACAGTGCTACTCTGTTAATTATGGTGTTACTCTTTCCAGTGAGCCTTGACAGCTTCACAAACAACAAGGCACACTACACAGCAAGCTGGAGCAGATTGCTTCTCATTTCTACCACAAGTGGACATGAGCAAGGCTCAGTTTTACAGCCTTATACTACTGTTCACTTTAGAGGATTGTTTGGATAACCAACTCAGTGACTGGGATAAATCATATTGTTCTTTAAATATTCTGACCAAGTGCACTGCATGTCCATGATTAACAGGAAATTAAAGTTGATGTACTCTATAGATTTGCTGGATCTGGAGCATTGTAGGCAGGGGGAGGGGAACACATTTTCCACTGCTGATGAGATCAACAGTGAATTCCAAATACAGGGATTAAGCAAACCCACTATGTACCACACCAAGCAATTTGTTTTACATCAGTTCTTCTCTATGATACTCCTTTCACTGGCCCAGACACTGAATTTACAGAGAACAATTGCCAGCCTTCAGTGTATCCTGCCTGTGTATGTTATTCATAGCATTATACTACAGTGTTTTAAAGGGTACCCATAAAAGCTCAACTGAGAACTCCTTAGTTTGGGACTCTCTAACTTTTTAGCTCCTTTCTCAAATGTTCAGTCTTAGACACAATTGAAAAATAGCAGAATAGATGATGGGCTCTTTGCACTGTTAGGAGCAAGGATATTTTATTAGTAGATGCATATGGGCCTCTTCTATTGGTTCAGTACTCTATAAAGTTCCTGAACATATTTCTGTTTCAGGCAGCTGACTATCTTACAGTTTGCCATTACTTGAGATTGCTTTGTAGGCACCTGATACATTCTCCAACTTGTAATGTACTTGTTACTTTGCTATCAGTATCTCTTTTTGTCTTCATAACATCTTCAAATGAAGCCGTGTCCTCCCATGGGACTGCCACTGCCATGACTGGATTTCCTGTATGGGACCTGCGGAAGAGCTAAGCTAGTTTATGTACTTTATCCTCACATAGCTGGTCTGCATGCCAAAACCTTTTCTGTTCTTACAGCCATGTCATTCACACTTAATTGTTCATATTTACTCTAAATGCACTTACTGAAACCTACTGTTTAATGCACCACATAAATATACATATAAGACCCAGATGACTCTTTTTATGCACTCCAGTAATTTAAGTTAACAAAGCCAAATTACGATATAATTGCTGTTATTTTTTTTTATTACATTAGTGCCTAAAAAGACCAATCATGAAGTAGAAGCTCACTGACCTGGATATCATGACAATGCTATCCTTCAGTGTGACAAAACAGAAACAGGATGAGTGAACAGGAATGGTGAAAATATTGTCTTGTTGACAGAGGTCTAATTTCCTTCAATATAAAATTTGGAATGTGGCTTTACTTAAAAGGAAATAAGCCAAGTGTCAGAAAATGTGTAATCAAAAGACATGGCCAGTAAGGAGCAGAGGGGGAAAAACAACTGAGTAGTAAGCAGCAGGAGGAAGGAAACATCTAAGATAGAGAAGACACAGGGAGGCACAGGTACAAAACATCCAAGTCCAATAGGGACATAGTTAAGCCAGTAGAAGAAAATTCACTGGGAGGTTTCTGCTTTGGTTGCTTTCCTATTGCTTAATGTATCTGGGTAATTCTTTGCAATATTGCTAAGAATTTTGCTATGGCTCTGGTTCATGGGAGGAAGTCAGAGGGAAATGATAGGTCACCACTTTTTTTTTTTCTACAACAATATCTCTTGGTGCATTTTACTGTCTGCTTAGTACTCTGAAAGCATGTCTGTGCTGCATTTGCAGACCCCAGTCAAGGTACTGCTACAGTTAATGAATACGAGTATTTAAAAAACATCCAAAAGAAAGATACCTGCAGAAAGCATAGATGACCAGGAAATTACCCAGAGTTCCTGTGATCCCCACTATAAGAACGACTACTCCAATTGTATAATGAGCATGGTCTGGGACATCCACTGTAGGAAAGGCACCAGGAACATCTTGCACTGTCATCCTCTGTGGAGTAAACAAGAGGTCATAGTTATATTGTCAGACTTCACTGAGTAACCTGTCATGTGCTTCTCTAGAATCTAGAGTGTGTGGTCAAGAATGCAAAAAGACCGCAAGGGAAAAAGTCATAATAAGCTAATTGCTTTCAAATTACATTTACTGTTGATCATCTCCAGGGGATATATATGCCATCAGCACTGAGAAGGCCAAAGGGTGGTTTATGTGTTTACTGTTGATTTAGAGTTTTGGTGAAGAAAACCAATATATTCTCTCTCAAAAGAAAGATAAAGGTATAGAGAAGAAAAAGAGTCAAGAAAGGACTCCTTTAATTGCATCTGACAACACGTAATGCAGTATTTAACAAGTACATTTTTTTGTAGTTTTAATTTTAGGAAAGTTTCTGTAGCGATGCGGTGTGATTTCTGTTGTCCTCTGACATCTCTGGCTAGGCTTCTCTAACTAAGTAGAAATTATCTTTTATGGATTGTCGCTATCCGGGACCTATTATATCTCCTTTTTTGAGTGTATTTAGCTTGTCAGGATCTGCTGAGAGGTCCGCACGTGGCGATCGCCTCTCTCAGAGGATCAGTGAGCTTCGGCACTGACTTTTCGAGTGAATAACTTGCTCAGTGCTTACTAATATTTCCAATAACAGCAGCCAATCCCCAATTAGAATTTACGAAATGCACGGTTTATTGTGGGGAAAACAAAGCAATTTGGGGACAGGAGGATCAAAAAGGGTAATTAAAGCACATGAAATATCTTTTAAGCATCAAAATAACAAGAACTTATGTCTTAATACTTATATATGGGTACACCTTAGTTACACACCTTATTTACTTATTAGTGAGGGAAGGAGGAGGAGGGATATGCCCGACGCTGGTCCCGTATAGGGTCGCAGTTTCTGTGCAAGTAAGACAGGATTATGCCTTCCCCTGCAAGCTGGGGTGGCAGGAATTTGTCTCACCACGCTGCAGCGACAATAGGACGAGCTGGGTCAAGCTGGGTCTGGCTGGAGTGAAGCGGAACCAGGCGAGAGCTGGGACTAGGCGAGCCGGGACTTGGGCTGCAGCCGGGGACCTCAGGCTGGCAGGCACTTCTCCAAGCGCAAATCGCCCCCCCCCAGCAAACGGCAAAA